ATAATATTTCTAAAAATAATTTAAAATCAATTATTATTCAAAACTAATAGAAAAATAACATTAAAAAATTCTAATTCATTAATTGCGTTAAACATGAAATTAAATCGTCATTATCGTTAAAAAAAAAAGCAATTGCATAACTGCGAAAATTGGTTTCTTGGAAAAAAACATCACGAGAATTGGGATTTTTGGAGGGATTTTTGGGATTTTTGTGGCAACTTGCAATAAAGTTTGAAATAGTTTTTTGCAATGCATTCCAACAACAGCAAATATTATATTAAAAAGTTAGCAAGAAATAAAGTACTAATCTAAAAGATCCAAAAAATAACAAACTTTTAACATCCGCAAATGCTATTTCTTTAAAAGTTTCTCCCTTTTTGGCTAAAAAGTTAAATAACTTATTAAGTCTTACCGTAAACTCAAATTTAAGTAGTACATGTATTTTGTCAACAAAAACATCGAGAAGGTTATGTCAGATGACTTTTAGTTATTATTTTTCTTTTTTTTGATTTTATATCAACTGAATTTGCTAAAGTTTTTTACTTTTTTACTGGTATTCTTAGAAGACATGCGTGCAATCGCTTGCTAATAATAATACTCTATAATTAAACGACATTTGTTGTTGTTTTTGCTAGGACTTTGTGATTATAACTTTATTTTGCTATGCGATTTATGTATAAAATAATTTATTATTAATTATAAAATTGAACTCGCAATAAATGTGAAATATGAAATTTATGAGCTTGTGTTTACTATTTTTAAAACCTTATTTATTTTCAAAAAATTTATTACATTGAAAAAGAAATATATATTCAAAATAATACTCTTGAAATGTAAGCGGCGACAATATATAAAGATTAAAAATAAATCAAATTAATTATTCTCAATAATAATTAATATACACTGATTATTTTATAATAAAAGATGTTCAGAAATCGGTTCTTAGTTTGCCGTGTCGTCCTGAAACAACAGCTAATTTTGTGTTGATTTCATGTTCATCTTTAATGATACAGATGGTATTTAATTTTATTTTTAGCGCTGATCAATCAATGTATGCAGCGCTGAAGTAGAGTAGAAAAAAAAAGAACACCAAAAAAGGACCCCATGCTTTCCCACAACACATTTTAATATCAGGGGAGGGGGGGGCGATTGAGAAATACTTTGACAATTTCTCAATTTCGTTAAAAGGCTGTATCAAATTTATTCCTGGTTAACACTCTGTATATTATATATATATATATATATATATATATATATATATATATATATATATTATATATATAACATATTTTATATATATTACATATATAACATATTTTATATATATTACATATATAACATTTTTTATATATATGTAATATATATAACATATTATATGTGTATGTGCGTGCGTGGGTGCATGCATATGTGTGTGTGTGTGTGTGTGTATGTGTGTGTGTGTATGTGTGTGTGTGTGTGTGTGTGTGTGTGTGTGTGTGTGTGTGTGTGTGTGTGTGTATAAAATTCAGTGCTTCACCAATTTAAGCCTGAGTATCAGCAACTTAATTATTTTATTAAAAAAGATAAAAGAAATTTGTTTTCTGAATTCTATTTCGACAATGTATTACAAAAAATATGAAAATGTAGTAAAATCTCGGCATAAGGATAATTTAATGTGCATTTTCATGTCAAAGGATTGTAAAGAGATTTTTAAGCCGTCGGATATACTACTCATACTAATCTATTCATAGAAGATACTACTTTGTTGAAAATGTTTTTTCAGCTGATATTTCTGTTAAAAATAACATTGATCTAGATTCTTCAGACTCGAAGAATAAATTTTTGTTTTGTTTATCTTTCATCTTGAGCAACAGGATAAAGAGTTAAGTCTGTATTTAAAGTTTATCACTGAAAATAATAATATACCATTATCAGATAATTCTACTTGTTCAGATGGGCCTAGACTTAAACTGGAACCAAAACAATCTTTTTTGTTAGAGGCAGGTTTATTGAGAACCCGTCTTTGTCAGAAATGATTATGATGTAGACAAATACAGGATGGTTTAACTAGATTTTTATGAACTTTAAATTAGGTATTTAATGGATTTGTGCACAGAATAGAATAGAAATTGATGATTTGAACTTGCTGATTATATTGAAATATTATACTTTATATAAAGTGAGAGGGTTGCCATTCAATAATATAGGCATGTCGACAGTACTAATAGTCATTTGCATTTTTTTAAGTGTCAGAATACAATGACTTTTTTTTGTTCAACACAACTTTTTTCCAACACCGCTGCCACTATACCTCTTTTCAACAACTGTTGGGTACACGGGGCCATATGCTTGGCTTTTAACCGCACTTCATCTCCAATTTTTCATCCTTTAAACTCAGTCAAAGACATTTGTGTTGATTCAACTTAGTCAATTCTATGAATTTGAACACATTTTTTATGTTGGCAAAAAAATGTGCCATGTTTAGATGGAACACCTTTCAAAACGTTGATTAAGAATGCAGACATTGGTATACACAACATTTTGCTTGTGAGTTTGTTTTCTTTACTTTCCAATGAACTCTTTTAATAACTTCATTTCACACTTAAAAACGGTATTACATTTTTGTTGCAACTTATC